GCCGGGGGCGGGGCCTCGGGAAAGGGGCGGGGCCGTGGGCGGGGCCATCCTGGGTGGCTCAGAGCAGTGGGGAGTTAGGCCTATTAGGACACAAAGCCAATGTCCACCTCATGTCCCCTGGTAGTCTGAGCGCCGTGGGCTGCGAGGGGCTGGCCTGGGCAGGACAGTAGAGGGACCACTCCTGCTGCTGCTGACCAGGCAGGCCACCTAGCCCTCCAGGAGGTTGTGCGAGAGAGATTGAGGCTGGGGTCCCAGGGCGGGGAGATGAGCCTGGAAAGAGAAGTGGAGGCGCAGGCCGGGGGGAGAGGCCCAGGCCACAGTGGGCAGTGCGTCTGGGAGCTCATGTTCGTCCAGTGCCAGGAAGGCCTGCCCGGCCGCCGTGGGGGAGGGGCAGGACTCCTAGGAGTGGTGAGGTACAGGCTGAGCTGCTCCAGGCTGCTGTGGGGGGCCTCTTGTGGGCAGCAGGGCGTCCTTGTCCCTCGATGGCCTGGGAGCAGGGCCACCCCAGCCCCAGGATGGGGCCTCTCCCTCTGATGGCAGGGTCAGGCCCCTCTGCTCCGCAGCAGACAAACGTGACCTCAGGACACTGCAGGTCTGGTGCCTGTGGTTCTCGGGTGGACTGGCCGGCACTGGGGGAGGAGGGAGAGGAATCTGCGTGGCGCTTTGCTTGGTGGGCCGTGTCCCGGGGCTGATACGGTGACCCACGCCCGGTGCAGGCTGGTCTGGGAGATGAAGCCCTGGGTCATCCTGGCATGAGGCCTGATGTGGTCTGGCCACAGTCGACACATGGCAGAGCCAGTCTGAGCACAGGGAGTTTTGAGAGGAGCCTGGAGGGAAGGGCCGCAGGGTCCCTGGTCGCAGGAGAAGGCCCTGGATGCGGAGAAGGATCCAGAACACATCCGCCCATGGGGCGTCCATTGCTCAGTTGTGGTGACACCTTGTCAGCTTGCTAGAGGGATGGACTCGCTGAAAACCACTGGGGCCCCACCTTGGGCGGCTGGCCTGGAGGGCGAGGGAGCCAGGTGGGATGGCACCTGCGGGGGCCCAGGGACCAGCCCCTTGGTGGCACTGGTCAGCGTCCCCAGAAAGGACTGAGTCACATGCCCAGGATGGTGGCCTTTGCACCTGTGTCACCGGGTGGGCCAGGTACCAGACTGGACAATGACCACAGAATAGAAGGCACCTTCCTAACCCCGAAACCGCACAGCCAGCATCGGACTGGTCACGTGAAAGGCGGGCGCTTCCTCCCCAAGCTCAGGCGGGAGATGCCAACGCCTCTCACCGGCTCCGTGTCACGTCGAGCGGCGATGTTCGCCAGCGTACGGGGGCGAGAAAGGGACAGAGCGCGCTCGCACTGGGAGGGGAAAGGTAAACTGTCTCTATTTGCAAATATCTCACAGACTGGAAACCCTAGGAATCCGTTTTTAAAACTAAAACTAATATTAAATTATTAAGCTGAATGTATGAATATTAAAATACTGATCCAAATATAAAACTATTTATTCCATTGTTAAAACTAATAAGTACCCTCAGTCAGGTTGTAGGGTAGAAGATCAATATACAAAAATCGTCAGTGTTTCTAAACAATGGCAATGAATAAACCAAAGATGAAATTTAAAAAACAATCCCACTGACAATAGTCTCAATAAAAATGAAATTCTTCTGCATACACTGAACCGAAGCAGTACGAAGCTTATACTCTGGAAACTGCAGAGCATTGGGGAAGAATGAAAGGGGGGCTCGGCCCCCGGAAAGCCGTCGCCTCGTCAGAATCCCGGCCGACTTCTTGGTACAAATTGAGACGCTGATTCTAAAACTCATATGGAACCGCAAGGGGCCCAGAGCACCCAAAACGATCCCGAAACGACAACTCACACATCCCAATTTCAAACTCACCGCGAAACGGCAGGAATCGAGGCCGCGTGGCGCTGGTGCGGAGCAGACGCGCGGGCTGGATGGAACCGGAGCCCAGGGGCGCAGCCAGCTGTGTGTCAGCTGACTTTCCGTAAGGGTGCCGGGCTTTTTAACGGGTAAGACCGGTCTTTCCAACAAACGGCGCTGGGACAGCTGGTTATCCAGACACAAAAGAATGAAATTTGACCCTCATGCCATGTACGAAAATTAATTCAATTTGGATTGAAGACTTGAGTGTACAAGCTTCAGCTCTAAAACTCTCAGAAGAAAGCACAGGGTAAATCCTCACGTGCGTGGACTTGGCGTTGGCGTCCTGCGTGTGACACCCAAAGCACAAATAGCATGAAAGAACAAACAGATAAACCCGACATCATTGAGATGAAAACCTTTTTTGCTTCAAAGCACACTGTCGTGGAAACGAAAACACCACCTCGGGGAGAATCCCTTCGTAAAGCAGATATCTCATAAAGAACTTGCATGTGGAATAGACGGGGACAATGTGACAGAAAAGACAAATAACCGAATTAAAAACTGGATGAGGAACGGGAGCAGAAATCCGCCGGACGGGGCAGTGGAGGTGCAGGGACCGCTGGACCGGGAAGCATCTTAGACTGACAGACGGGGCAGGCAGCGCCCTAGAACACAAGAGAGTTTCTTGTAGGGCAAGTCACTTCCAGGCATGGGGCGGGAGCAGGCAACCCCACGGTCAGCCCGGCTCACCTCTGGTACTGGACAGTCGTTACGGTACATGCGGTAAATGTTTTTGGTAGAGCTAAGGTGTTTATGGTTGACAGGACACAGGGACAGAGAGGGTAGTAGGAGCCAGGAGCCCCACCTCGTGGTGGCCCTGTGACGTGCGATGGCTCAGCATTGACGCCAGCACCGGCTTTGGTCCCTGTCTCAGTGGCTGTGCCATTGTGGCCGTCACCGATGGGAACCTGGCACACTGCGCCAGCTGGCAGTGCCGGCCGGGCGTGGCGAAGTCGGGCAGAGTCGACAGCATGACAACTTGAACGGAAGAGAAATCGGGCACAGAGACAGGGTCGGCCTTATTTACGTCAACATCTATTCAAGTTTCTCTGTAGAAAGACCTATAAATGGCCATTACGCCCCTAAGAAGACGCTCCGTGTCACTGGCCCTCAGGGATGTGCAAATGGACCACGCGGAGATACCCCGGCACCCCCTGGGGCGGCTGTACTCAGCAAGTGCTGGGGGTTGCAGAGAGGGGGTGCGCAGACGGTGCCGCCACCGCGGAAGCAGTCTGGCGGGTCCTCAGACGTTAGCGGCAGGGTCCCCGCGTCGCCGGCAACCCCGCTCCCGGGTGTGTGCCCACGGGGAAGGAAGGCACAGTGCACACGACACTGGTACGCGAGCGTTCAAGCTGCGTGGTTCGCAGGGCCCAGGCACCCACCACTGGACGCGCGGGCAGCGGGGGGCGGCGCCTGTGCGACGTGACGGCGTCGCTCGTGGGAGGAGCCAAGCCCTGGCACACGCCGCAGCACGATGGGCCTTGAAGACGCAACGCCGGACGAAAGAACCCAGTCGCAAAAGACCACGTGTTCACGACGTCGCTCCTGTGGGTGTCCAGAGCAAGCACAGCCTCAGAGACCAAGGGGATTGGTGGCTGCCAGGGCTGGGGCCGGGGGTCCGGGGGCCAGAGGCCAGAGGCCAGGGGCCAAGGTGTCAGGGAGCAGGGGCCGGGGGCTGGCTTCCATTTTGGACTGATGACAACGATCTAAATTGATCGTGGATGGTCATACACTGCGAAGGCTCTAAACCCACTGAGCTGTGGCCATGACAGGTGAGCCGGAGGCAGGGTGAGCCCTGTCCCAGCAACGCTGTTAGGGAGAGCCCGGCCCTTTGAGATAGAAACGTCTTCTTGCTTGTGCGTTTCCGTTTAAAGAAGTGATTCGCGAGGCTGTGGTACTGTCACTTTAAGTTCTTTACTGACACCTGTCCCAGAAGCATTGCTTGGTGGCACGCGGTCTCCAGGGCGCTTGTTGGAGCCACCAGCAGCCTGAGTGGCGGCCCAGGGCACTTTGGGTGCGGGAAGGGTGGGGTTCCTGATCCGAGGGGTGGTGAGGAAGCAGAGGTCAGGTGGCCTTTCTGGGGGCGATGTGCTGTCTGAGGAGAGGAAGTGGAGAGACACGGTTGTCGTGGGGACCGCTGCCGTCCGGTCCCCTGGCCACCGCGCATTCCCCGCAGCTGCCCGAGAGCACAGCCAGGAGCCCCTGCCCCACAGAGACTGGCGTTGCCTGTGGCCACCTGGTGGCCTGGCGCAGGAGACACCGAGCTGGTCAGTGCAGGGGACTCCGAGCTGATCGAAGGCGCAGGGGATGCCGAGTTGGTCAGTGGCGCAGGGGACACTGAGCTGGTCCAAGGCGCAGGGGAGGGGTGACGGGCGCTGCAGGAGGCTGGGCGAGCGTGCAGGAGCAGGGCGGCCAAGGGAAGCCCTTCGCTCCAGGCCCGGGACTGCCTGCCGCCCTGCGTTGCCCCCTCGACCTGCTGTGGCCCGGAGGGTTTGGGGTCCCACCTGCCTCCCTGTGGTGCCAGGGCGGGCTCGCTGCGGGAGGGCGGTGGAGGCCGGCACCCCAGGGCGCCCTCGGCCTGTGGACGGCACAGCAGCAGCAGGAGGACCCGGAGCTAACGCGGGTCTCTCTGGGTGCAGTGGAGCTGACCCCCTATCACAGGCTGAAGCGCAGGAGCCCGGGGTTGAAGGTGCCGCACCCCGAGGAGCAGGAGCTGTGAGTGCCGCTGGCCCTGCCCACCGTGGGTGGGGGTTGCAGGGCATGCTTGGGGACAGCACCACACCTGGTGGCGGGCGCTGGGTGGGACGTGGGCCAGGCTCGGCTCCGTGAAGGAGGCGTCACCTGGGTGGACCCTGCATCTGTCCCCCCTGCCTTGGGCTCCCTGCCGCGCCTGGGGCGCACAGAGGGCGGGCCCCACCCACGGCCGTGCGCCCCCTGCAGGATCCCCTTCTTCAAGTTCTGCTACCAGTGCGGCCGGTCGGTGGGGGTGCGCCTGGCGCCCTGCGCGCGCTGCTACGGCATGCTGGCCTGCAGCAAAAACTGCAAGACCAAGGCCTGGGCCGACTTCCACAAGCGCGACTGCAGCGTCCTGGCCTCCATGGGTGAGCCGCCCGGCCC